TAATGGTTAAGGCCCCTGTATCAGGGTTGCGGGGGTTAAGGGTTTGGAGCTTCAGGGAGTCTGGGCGTTTGCGGGTTCAGGGTTTAGGATTTAGGGTTTGGAGGTTGAGGTTTGAGGGCTAGCTGTATAGGTGGTTGTCAAGATTAGGGTCCCCTTTTGGGTTCCTATAATACGGCACCTAATATTTAGGGTACCCAAAACCACCCATATAGAGCTTATAGTGAAATGGGCCATGATCGGTTAGTTTCCCCTGAATCAACATCATACGCAAAGCCATTGCCTTGAAATTATGATATATCCACACCCTAAAAAGCCCTCAGCCACGAACGCCCCAAACTCCGTGTAAATGCCGGGTAGAGTCGAATTTCCCACATATGTACTAAGGAGCCGCTGGCCTCTTGGACTGCAACGCGGGTGGGTTGTGTGTCTTAGCCTGAAGGTAGAGAACCTCAGGGTTCATGGTTTGCTCAAGACCTTGCAGTTTATGTCCAGTTTAGGTGTCCAAGCCTTGAAATGCTCAACTCTATCAGCCTTAAACCCTATAAACCCCTACACAATAAACCCTAAGCCGTGAAGCCCTGTAAAGGCCACTTTCCATGTGCCAGGACCTCGACAACAGCAAATCCTTCCCGCAGGGATTCCAGCAGGTCCTGGGATCCTGTTTGGGGAGGGCTCCGGCAGTCAGCCCCTATATGGCAACAAAAAGAATCAACCTCATTTAAAACCTTATATCGTAACTATATAACAAGCTCATCGTAATTATTAGAACAGTTAGCCTGTCTAGCAACCCTTGTAACTTTGTAACTAGCAACCCACTTAGACTAGTAACCCGTAGAGACCCCTAACGTAACCTTATGCCTAAACCCAGTGTCCAAAGACGTTGCCTGACTTTGAAAAACGGACATCATCCTACCTATTGAGCGGTTAATGGGCTCAAGGTGGAGTCACACCGGATATCTTAGAGCCATGTAGGTTGCGGGGGGCACGGTGCTTCGGTCCTGCACTGGGACTGGTTTCATGTCCGTGACGCATGTGATAATCCGCGGCAGATAATGGTGCTCTTGATGAGCGTTTTTTTTGCTTCTCCTCCTCACCACTTCTACAACTTCTACTATTTGCCGTGAACGCCAACTCAGCCCTGGAAGCCCGACCCTGTGCGCTGCACCTCTTGACTGCGAGCAGTGTGGCCTGAACGCAACTGCAGAGCACTGTGTACTTTCTTTCTAAATTGTATGTCGGTAAACAACAGAAACTTGTGCACCTACGTTGCTTCGGCTCTGTTGCTGACATGGTTCTGGGTTTGGTGCTACTAAGGTGGCCCCTGCCAGTAGTGATAAGTCATGACACTCTTCATTCACAGGCATTTGGTATGAACATTACTGTTATCACTGTTATTGCTGTTGTGACCTATGTGTCGGTCGTTCAGCTAGTAAAGCTAGTACCCCAAAGTCTAGGGTTGCCGCGGTGAACCGAGAATCGAAATCTTCTTGGCTAGAGCTGCGAATGCACCCCCAAAAGGATTCAGGATTTAAGATATGCAGCCTGGGCTGCAGTACTTCATTATGTCTGGCTCGGGAAAAGAGTTCAAGGGGGCATGCCCTAGGCCTAGCATGCAGAACACCAAGAGAACTGCTAAGTTAAGGGATTCTGTAATGTCGGCTTGACAGTAAGAAGGATGTATGCCCAGCTGAACCCGGAACAAAACCTTCAAACTCAGGGAGCCGCCTGGGGTGCAGGGGTTGGGCTGTCCTTTTGCAGGTTTAAGAGTTGTTTAAGATCTATGGGATTTAGGATTTCGAGGCTTGACAATCTGGGGTTTGAGGTTGCAAGGTTTTGGGTTCGAGGCTTCAATGGGCATGGATCCCTAAACCCTAGGCCCTGAGCCCTAGTCACTCTCTGCCAGTCTGGTGGCTTTAGCGGATACGGTCAGAGTGGCTACGGTCAAAGTGTCCGGCACCCAGGGGTTTAGGTTCAGGCCTCAGTTTTCGACTTTCTGATATCGGATTTATAACTGTGAGCCTGATGTTGATCTTGAACTTGAAATCCTACGTTAGATGCTAAGGAATTGGTTTTTGAACTCTAGGTTTGGGGGCACCTAACTTTCTACAGGATGTATGGCATTTATGGGCAGTTTTGTGGGTGGGCCGAATCTTTGGGTACTGGTATAGGATGTAGCGTTTCCCGCTTGGGTTTTAGGGTTTGAGGTCAAGTCGGAAGTACAAGCCATGGCGGTTTCTCGAAAATCGGAGTTCCCGTTTCGGCGGCCGTCCTTGCAGAATACTTCACGATCCAACTATGTCGACAACGAGGTTGGGGCAGAGTTTCAGTCCCTTTAGTTGGGGCACGTCGACGCCCGCAGCCCTCATGTTGCCAAGGGAAGATGAATCCTAATCCCGAAATGCGAAATCATGAACCCTAAATTCTTCTTAGCCCTGAACTCTGAACGAAGCCCCTACACGTTGTGCTAAACCCTTATAAACCATTGAGCCCCTAACTACACGCAAAACCCAGAAACCCTAAACCCTGAACTCGAAGCTTGCAATTTGGTTGTATGTCCGTGATGAGTTCCATAGCCTTGAGGCCTTACCCCTAAACCCTAAACCCTGTGAGTTCCATAGCCTTGAGGCCTTACCTCCTCCACCGCCTCTGCTCACACCGTCTTTACAGCAGCCAGCGGGCCTGCGCCCTCCTCGGCAAAAGAGGTGGAAAGATATCGGTTTAGGGTTTAGGGTTTTAGGGTTTAGGGTTTAGGGTTTACGGTTCCTGCAGCAGTTGCGTTCGAGACTTCTGTCAGAGGTTCTGTGGGGTTGCTGTGTGTGGGGGCGAGTTTAGGGTGCTACGGTGGAGTTTTGCTTTGCTTCTGGGGCTCCAGGACTCCGAAAAACCCTGTGGGATCGGGATTGGGGAGTTCGGCGTTGCTAGGGCCTTGCAGACGGAATGTGCTTGTAGGTTGAAGCCATGCGGTTTAGGGTTTAGGGTTTAGGGTTTAGGGTTTCATGGCCTGCCTGTAGACAGAACCCCTGCCCCCAATCATGCATCGACAAACCATAGCCACAGACTGCGAGGGCCTTTTGCAGTTCGACTCCAGTTTTTGCAGCTCAGACAGGGCTCCACCCATCCAAGGGTTCAAGCAAGCCTTGCCAGTACTACCTACCACCCTTGTGGCTGTGTTTCTGCTTGTATTTGTTTGTCTCTCTCTCTCTCTCTCCCTCTCCCTCTCTCTCTTCATAGTTCGATGCCTTCACGGCTGTTACTGATACCCGCTTCTATTGCTTTGGCATCTGTTTATAACAAATACATCTTCATCTCGCTTGTTCATAGGGAAGGAAGCCCCTTGAGCTTCACTTCTCCCTCCGTCTGAGAGGGTTTGCCTCAAGTAGGGGTTTTCTATCCCCTCACACTCTGATGGTTTAGGGTTTTTAGGGCTTAGGGTTTTGGGCTGTGAGTTTAGGGAACCTTTGGAGATTGAGGGATGGAACCCGGGACTCGAAGCCTAAAAGGACCCGGGTACATCCTTTCGTCCTGAATGGATGTACAAAGCCTTGCTCAGGTTCCCTAGACCCTACAACCTTAAGCCCTCAAGCCCTAGACCCTCAAACCCTAAACCCCCAAGCCCTAAAGTTTATAAGACCGTAAACCCTCAAACCCTAAGCCCTGAAGTTTATAAAACCCTCAAACCCCAAGCCCTGAAGCCTAAAACCCTAAACCCCATCATAAACCCCCAAAGAACTGCTTTCTCAGGTACCCATATGGCGCGCAGCCAGCGAACCCGGCCCAGGCACGCCGATTTGCCCGCGAGGTACTCATACACTTAGACCTGAGCCACGAAGGGTTTAGGGTTGCAGGGTTTGGGGGTTTTGTGGGTTTGGGCTTCGGGACTTTGGGTTTTCGGGTTTCAGGGTTTGGGGGTTTTGGGTTTTTGGGTTTCAGGGCTTTGGGTTTTAGTTTAGGGTTTTGGGTTCAGGGCTTTGGGTTTTAGGGTTGTGGGTTCAGGGTTTTCGATACTTGGAGCTGTAGGGCTGTAGGTGCCGCGCATTCCGGATGCTGCCTTCACACGATGCCTAGTAGGGTTTAGGGTTTAGGGTTTCTGGCACCCATGTGAGTCAGAAGTTCCTATACGCCAACTGTGCCTGCAGAGTTTGTCTGTTGTTCCGAGGGCTCAGGACTGAGGGCTTAGGGTTCGGATGGCTCTTACTTTCGTGCTTGTTGTCATGCACCTCCCATATCCGGCCTGAGCCTGCAACTTCGGAACGGACCCAAAATTCCAGTTCGTGAAGCTGCATGGTCAGGAAATCTAAACCCTCAACACGCACAGTGAAAGAAGGCCGTGGTACTCAACATGAAGCCAAGCCACCAATTCCACTTGCATGCAGTCCTTCCCGCCAGGTGCGCGTCATCCGTGGCTGAGTGAGCACACCAACCTGACATGAATTTGCCGACCTTCGAAGATCATCCCAAAGCAATGCAGCGTTGCCAGCTATGCTTTGTTGCCATGCGAGTCCACAACTGGCATAGGTTACGCTGTTGCAAGACCATTGTCGCCGCTGTCGGAGCGTAGCGCATGTGCAACATCAAATGGGGAAGGAGTGGCCCTGCCCCAAGTACCGTAGAGAAACGGGGCTTCCGTGTTAGATTAAAGAAGAAGCTCAGAATAAGATGTGGCACATGCTGGATGTATTGTTTGATGCGAGTGTAATGACCATATCATGGGTTGAACACCCTGCCGGAGTGGCCGTTCGATGCCACATGTCAGATAGACCGGCTTGAGCAAGCCATACAGATTCGCCGGGTGCACGCCAACTGTTCAACCTGTGCTGCGCCAACGCTAACTTTTCGATCGCAAAATGCGCATGTTGCAAGTTCCGAGTCAATTCTTGTGCATCTTCCTTTCTGGGCATTGACGAAAGACATTTCTGCCTGTGGAATAATGGCTTGAGCTTTATGCTAGAAGAACCTCCACGACACGGCAGCCAGAACATCAGCCCCTTGCATCCCTGGCCATGTCCACTTACAACTGGGCGAAGTATGACCCGAAGTACTACCTGAACGGCGCGCTCTGCGGCGGGATCTGCTGCTCCATCACGCACGGCGCCCTCTGCCCCGTGGACGTGGTGAAGACCCGCATCCAGCTGGACCCGGTGAAGTACCAGGGTGGGCTCCTGAGTGTCGGGCGCCAGGTTGTGGCCGAGGAGGGCGCGGGTGTGTTGTCCACTGGGCTTGGGCCCACGGCGGCCGGCTACTTCGTGCAGGGCTGGTTCAAGTTCGGTGGCAACGAGTTCTTCAAGATCCAGTTCACGAAATCCTTGGGAGACCAAAAGGCATGGGACATGAGGACTCCTATCATGTTGGGAGCCTCGGCCTGCGCGGAGTTCATCGCTGACATCTTCCTTTGCCCTTTGGAGGCTGCCCGCATTCGACAGGTCTCCGACCCCACCTTCCCCAAGGGCACCTTCACGGCCATGCAGGCACTGATCCAGCGGGAGGGCATCATGGGCTGGTACGCAGGGCTTGTGCCGATCCTCTTCAAGCAGATCCCATACACCATGGCCAAGTTCGCAGTCCAGGGTACGGCGGAGATCAGCATCTACAACTCCTTGCCCACGAAGCGCGAGAACCTGAGCCGGGGCAGCAAGATGGGCGTGTCCATGACCTCCGGCTTCATTGCGGGCGTCGCTGCGGCCATCATCTCCCACCCGGCCGACTCTTTGCTCTCCAAAATCAACAAGAAGGGTGCCGGTGGCGATGGCAGCATGATCTCCCGGCTCATGAACATCGCCAAGGAGACTGGCTTCGTGAAGCTCTGCACCACCGGCCTCGGCCCCAGGTGCGTGATGATTGGAACTCTCACGGCCGGCCAGTTCCTCATCTTCGACTCCCTCATGCCCATCATGGGCGTCGAGAAGTTCCACTTCCACGACCCCTCCAAGCCGCACTGAGCACAGTGAGTGTCCAAGAAGTTGCGCGTGGTAGTCCTCACGTGATACATCACATGCTACAGGTGTTTATTTTGTGGAAGCAAGCTAAAGATAGTTACCGACTAACATGACTTCATACAGCACAAAGACAGATTAGCAACTGAGCTCCGGAGCCCCCCGGAGCTGTTCTTTTCTGTGTGTTTCCATTCATTGCCTTGTGTCGAGTGCCTGGAAACATAACTCGTCTTCTGTGGGCAAACACCCTCCGATTGCCAGCATCGTGTTTCCAGGCACAGCCATACAGAGCACGAAGCCACCACATGCAGACATGCCCCAAATCCTAAATCCAGCTTGCTTGAAGGGGAGTCTTGCTCTGTAGTGTTTTGCGAGCTGCTTCAGCATAGTCTTGGCGCTCTGACCACCCAGTGCTTGAAGCGTAGGCCAGGCATTGGACAACATGCACCCAGAGGCCCAGAAGCTCAGAACGCGATGTCTCTGAATGCTTAAACTATGGTCTGTTCAAGTCCTCTTAAGGCAGAAAAATGCCAGGCCCCTAGAATGTAAACTATGTTCGATCGCCCCTGCCCCGCTGTGAAGAGTGCTCCATACGACACCTCTACCCCTTAAAACCTCTAAGAAAACTGCCTGCATCTGCTTCGATGCTTGTGCTAGGAAAAACTGGAAGCCACCTTGAGATTACGCCGTGCTTCGGGAGGTGGAGGTGAGGGTTTAGTGTTTAAGATGGTTTGACGGTTTTGAAGGTCGGGGAAAACTGGAGAAGTTTGCGGTTCGAGGTTCAGGGTACACGATTGCTAAACCCTAGACCCTAGATCATAGAAGTAATGCAGCTCACCTCGGCTTCGTCCTGCACAGTACAGATATTGATTGATCACGGGGCTTAGGCTCAGGGCCCCTAAACCCAAACCCTAAACTCTAGGGCTCAATGCCTACAATGTAGGGGCCTGAATAATTACCAATAATCACTATTTTGGCGGCTCCTTATTATAATTAGAATATAATGGGCTCCAAAACCCGCATTCTAACAATTTAGGCCCCTACACTATAAGTATCGACCCGATAGAGCTTCAGGTCTCTGGGGATTGCTTAAGGCCACGGCCCTGCGCGGGTCATTTCTCGCTTGGGGCCTTGAGTCACCAGGGACACTCACAAGATCGCGTCGCGATGAAAACCATTCGCTGAATTCGGGGCCGCAATTGAGGGTTTAGGGTTTCAGAAAAAGTAAATATATATTCAGAGACAGATCGTACTCTAAGTTAGCTGATTCGTGGCGCCCGGAGAAATATTAGATTTTGCTGAGAATATGATAGCCAGAATTTTTATTTATGAATATATATATATATATAATTCATATTCACATATTCGGTGAGCACTATTTTTCATAACCTTATAATTTTCATACGATTTCGAGAAGGCATGATATAAAAAATCATAGTTCTTTCATCAAGATATTTGACTACTCATATATTATTTCGATATCTATTAAACTATTGAATCGATGATTAATAATATATCGAGTTTCTATATTCTTGAAAAATATGTGGAAATTATGATTTGATATTATTCAAAAGTATCTTAATAAAAGACCGATCTGGAATATAGAATTATTCTTCGAATCTATCTCATGAAATATTTTTCATGATAATTCTTAGAAATATATTGATACTGAATATTTTCAATTATCGAATATTCTGAAAATATTCTTCTAGATATATATTTCTGATTCTGATATCTAAGATATCAAAGATAGATTCGTAAAATATGTATTTGATACATAATTTTATAGAAAGATATGAAAATTTTGTCATATTCTCGATAAGCAAATTGAACAAATTTAAATTTCTTAATCTTTTTTCGTTAAGTTTATAATTCTAAAATTAAAGGATCGGATAGTCTCATATGTTAGATTTCTCTCGTATGACAAATGAGTTCAAGGGGTCAAGGGGTGATGGTAGTGTTGCGTGTGTGTGGGTATGGGTCTGTGTGTCTGTATATTTGTAGTGTGTTTTTGTATGTGTGCGTGTGGCGCGTTGCTTATCTGTCTTCTTGTATGCGTGCATATACGGGTATATGCTCATATGTGTGCAGGTTCGGAACCCCCCCCCTTCCCCCCCTAGTGCGCCTATGCGTGGATGAGCCTGGGCTGTTCTGATAACATGATTTCTTATATTAAATAATTTTTTTCTTTTTCGGGAGATGGAAAATGAATTCTCTCTCTCTGAATTATAAAGGATTTCTATATAAGGTCATCAAAATTCTGATATTCTAAATACCTCTATATAATTTTTTTATTACGAATTTCGAATTTTACGATTTAGAAATAATTTCTGCAGACGATTAGATTTTGAAAATATTCGATGATTCATTCAATTGCTCTATATTTTATGAATTTTTTCATTATATTAATTCGTCATCAATATCGAAAAAAGAATCTAAAAGATCAATAAATAATCTTTATTTATATGAAATTCGATATAAGCAGGAATATTTATAAATATATTTATCTTCAATAAATTAAGTATTATTCGATAATATTTTCGCTACTTCTATATATATATATATATATATATATATATATCAGAAAAAATGAAAAATATTATGCTTCATATATTTTATTAAAATAGATTTGAGAAAGATATATATATATATATATTCATCTGATAAATTCAAGATTCTGAGAAGATATAATAAATTTCAAATAATATATATTATTATCTAGTTGAAATTTTAAATTTTTCAATTTTCTAGATATGATTTTATAGGAATTTATCATTCAAATTTTTCAAATAATACAGAAATTTTGGAATTCAGAATATGAATCTATGGATTAGGATCATTATCATAAATTTGATTGTTAATTTTATTTTATCACGAGATTTGATATTTTTCATTATATATTAAAATTTCAATCTTAATCTTACTATCTATAGTTTAGCTATATCAACTCTAGCATCAATATTCTTATCTATATAGTTTCTATATTATTTATCATATTATGAAATCAATCGGTTGATGATAAGCTATATGACCACGATATAACTAGATCAATTAGGCCTAGATCATCTATCTTATCAATAATTCTGCCAATATTATTAGATAAGGCGCTTTATAAATTAAGTTTATTAAGAGATATATATCTTAATTCAATTTTATTTGATTCCTATTCGGAGGTGATGCTCTATATTCTATCAATATCCGATTTGGTTCTTTAGGAATCCAGGAGTCTATCTTTCCAATATTTGGAAATCAATAGTTTAGCTCTATAATCGGAGAATCTTAGCTATGAGGCTATGAATTATCTTTATCTATTCGATTAAATTAGCTTGGACATATCATATATTTTCAATTAATATGGGATAATGATACAAGAGCTATAATTTTTCAGATTAATATATGAATTATTTTTATTTCCAACTTGTTCGCTATGATCGCTGAATTGATATTCTATATATCTGGACAAGTAGTAAATATGCACTGCTACTATTTTCATAACTAATGGTATCTATTATATTCTATCTTTCATATAGTCTATTCGCAATAGGTGATCCAAAAAAGAGCTATATTTTTGTAGGTTAATATATTGATTATCTTTTCATTATCAATTTGACCGCTAAGATCATTTAATTGATATTCTATATATCTGGACAAGTAATGAATATCTACTGATATCATTTTTATAAGTAATATTAGCTATTAAATTATATCTTTCATATAATCTATTCATAATAAATGATTCAAGCGATATTCTATTTGATAATTAAAGGACCGGATAACCCCACATGACAGCGATACTCTGGTCAGCATCAAAGCAGTGCAAAACAGGGTGATTTAGATATGTAAATATGCGTGCGCACTCCGCGTGGGTGTCCGCGCCGGTTGTGTGTGTTGTGCGTGTGCGTGGGCGTGGGCGTGTGGGTGTGGGTGTGTTGTGAGCGGTGTGCTGTGTGCTGTGTGGTGTGTGTTGTGTGTTGTGTGTTGTGTGTTGTGTGTTTGTGTGTCGTCTGTGTTGCGCGTGTGTGTGTGTGTGCTGTGTGTTGTGTGTTGTGTGTTGTGTGTTGTGTGTTGTGTGTTGTGTGTTGTGTGTTGTGTGTTGTGTGTTGTGTGTTGTGTGTTGTGTGTTGTGTGTTGTGTGTTGTGTGTGTCTGTTGTGTGTCTGTTGTGTGTCGTCTGTGTGTCGTCTGTGTTGCGTGTGTGTGTGTGTGTGTGTGTGTGTGTGTGTGTCGGGGTGTCGGTGTGTCGGTGTGTCGGTGTGTCGGTGTGTCTGTGTGTCTGTGTGTCTGTGTGTCTGTGTGTCTGTGTGTCTGTGTGTCTGTGTGTCTGTCAGAGACTGTCTCTGTCTCTGTCTCTGTCTCTGTCTCTGTCTCTGTCTCTGTCTCTGTCTGTCTGTCTGTTTGTCTGTCTGTCTCTGTCTGTCTCTGTCTGTCTCTGTCTCTGTCTCTGTCTCTGTCTCTGTCTCTGTTTCTGTCTCTGTCTCTGTCTCTGTCTCTGTCTCTGTCTCTGTCTCTGTCTCTGTCTGTCGGTCTGTCTGTCTCTCTGTTTCTGTGTGTGTGGGTGTGTGGGGGTGCGTGCGCGTGTCTGTCTGTGTGAGTGGGTGTGTCTGTGTGTGTGCCTGTGTGTGTGTGTGTGTGTGTCGGTGTGTGTCTGTGCGTGTGTGTGTGCGTGCGTGTGTGTGCGTGGGTGTGCGTGTGTGCGTGTGCGTGCGTTGTTCTTATTTGTTCGCACGGGCACCCGCTTGAAATTTTTCTGCACCCCCCCGTTCCACCTTCCTACCCATCCACACTCTTCGCTCTGGCATCTG